GTTAAGCTAAAAGCGCCGTGTTTGTATAAAAAGATCGTTTAACGAAACAGCTCTTGACCTGGCTCAACATGCATCTCAGATTTGAACTGGGTGTCCACTTCCGCTCCTGGATACTCCGTTTGAAAATTATCTTGTGGCCTAATCGCTGGGCTTTTTAATTGTGGGATTAAAATTTTTGGATTTGTTCGAGTTCCATTAAACAAGAATTAAAAGTGTAAATTTGCTGGTTTTTTCTTTCAACACATAAAGGGCATGTAATATTTTAAGAGTATATAATATTTCGAGAGAAATAAGGAAAAAAAGTAGGTAAACGAAAGCCAAAAAACGATCAGCCATGCGAATAATGTTCAGCTTCGATTCCAAAAAAATAGCGAGATTATCAGGCATGCGAATAATGCAGAGTGTAATACGATGAAAACAACAAATAATTTTTTCAAACCATTCTATCCGGGAAATTCGAAATATATCACACATACAATCGGCTTCTCCACATCCACGATTTTGTGTAGCCGCAAAAGGCGCCAAATTTAGGATCGAAATTGGGGTTCTCTGCTTTGCCACCGCAGAAACCTGTATGCACTTGTTATGCGTTTTTGCTGTGCAGCGCTGCTACAGCCAGCGTGAAAGGTTTGGCTGGAAGGCTAAAATCACAGCATGATGTTCCCCGTCTAAGTAGGTGTTAACGCACTGTAACATATGCCCCGGGAAAGCGTGGTAAGCGCGTAAAGGCCTGCCAAAGCTTTCCTGGCCTATGTTCATAACTCGAGGATCTGGAAAGCGTGAAGGCTAAAATCACTGGGAGAGTCGGGAAGCTGTAATCAACTTAAAGATTTCAAATTCAATCTCTCTGCGATTCATTCGTTTCGATGGTAAATTGGTACTGGCATATGGACTTGCCAACAACGTTGTTCTTAAGTAATCCTCAAGGGAAGGCATCGATTGTGACTGCTTTTAGCAAGATGTTTTAGTACCCGGGCTACTCCAAATGCCTCACATTTTAACAAATAGCGAATATAGCGGGGAGAAAACGGGGAAGGGAGGGGGGAAGTTTGCCAAGTTTATTTCCAAAAATTTTCCGCTTACGGGTGGGAGGGATGGGGGGAAAAACTTAGCAAACTTTATTCCCAGAAATTTTCCGCTCAGGGATATAGGAGGGGGGAGAGGGAGAAAGGTGGACAAATTTTATTTTCGAAGACTTTTGGCTCACCAAACACCACATTTATCGATGAAAAGCACAGCACATAAAACCTAAGGAAATTCATTTTTGGATGGTGGCGAGGGCCGCGTTCATTTACGTTACCAGATGGTTGATATCACGATCGCTACCCTTCGTAAAATGTGTATTTACGAAGCGTTGTCCACAGTAACCACATGCATGATTACCTGGCTTATCCTGAAAAAAAGCATACAAATAAAACCAAACCAAATGCTGCTGGAATCATATTTAAGATTTCACTGAAAAACTGGTAAAACCTTATCTTTGGATTTTAGTAACTCAGTTTCTCACCAGTTTGCTCCTCAAACAACCTATCGTAGCTTCTAAAGGCAAATGCGAAAGGTTGTCTGAATGTCACTCAGGCTACTAGTATAAATACCTTCACCTGGCCTCTGAAGAATCAGCTTTACTTAAGCATCAGCTTCAGAAACAGGGAAGCCCAAAACTGCAGATGGGCTTTTATTATAAGGCAATTTCCACCCATAAGTTTTCTGATGGGATTGAGTTTTGAAACGGACTTCGCTAAGCACTGATTAAACGCAACACGTTATTTGAGACAGACAATCCTTACCAATGCATAAAAAATGTCCATATTCTGGATTTAAGTACTGGTGAGATCCTCAATAACACTCAAAAGGTTTGATCATAATTTTGAGATATAAAAATTCGACCGTTGGAATGCACTCCAGATCCGGAAAACGGCGAGATTTCTCATATGTCTGGCAAAAAAAGCTAATATTTTCTTCACTCCCACATCTCCTACCCTCCCATTTTCTCCTAACCTCTATCGGAGCAAGAATTTTCTGGGAGTAAAATAGGGCAAATTTGCCTGTTCACACGTATTTATATGCCGAAAAAGCTTAACAGCAAGCATTCCATTTCCGTCTTAACCATAGGCAGATCCAAGACGGACTCCTGAGGGCGGGGGAAGGGGCCAACGAAGGACGGGGGGAAGAGTGCGGAAGAGAGTTTTCTTCAGTTTTAGCTTTACACAGCCTGTGCTACTAGGGAGGGGGAGAGGAAGGACCCTACTCTCCCTCCCTGGATCCACCTATGGTTTTAACACGTGTTGAACATAACTTCGCCCGGTTAAAAATATTAAAATAATAACTGACCAGTTTAATGTACACTCTTGGATGGCCCAGTGCTGGATGACCACCATCACAGAAAACAGTGCGTTCTTCCGTCTCGATTGGTGGCACTTCAGCAATCAATTTCTGAGCAACATTTGGATTCACCTGTTTCGGTGCAATTGTAAATCTTGCAAGTCGATAATCCGCTTGATCCCATGCCTAGAAAAATCTTTTTTCTTCTTAACCATTTACAGTTTTATACTGTTTTACCCGAAAACTGCGCCAGCCATATGGCGAAGACTGTTATCTAAGTAGAGAGACGGAATGGTTGAATTATTTGCAACTATAACTGCAATTGGAAGTAACTGTGAAAAGAAGAAAAATGACGAAGAGGAAGACTGTAAATGGTGCAAAAGGAACAAAGTGTTTACAGCAAGGAAACGAAGCTACTGGCTAAACTCCTTTGCCTTACCCAGCTGTCCTTCAATTCCATATGATATGCAAATGTCCCGTTTCCTGACTCGAGTTCCCCCCTCCGTGATATATAATGACAACAGATGGAGCTGTTGCCGAATTTTCCGCGCTGAGTAACGGCTGATTTTTGTTTTTTTTTTTTAAGCAAAGCGTTGTTTATTGGTTTGGACAAGTGCTTCCCATAGCTGCACCCCTACAGCCACACAGGCCCCTCGTCCGTCCTCCGTTTGTTACATAAAAGTTAAAGACATGTGATAACAGGCCAGCTGACATGTACATTTTCTAAAGAAATACCCGAAAATTCATTCCGCCTATGTATCATCCCTTAGCTGTAAACACAGAGAGCAATCTATCGTGGGAAAAGATAGGAAATTCTAAAATACCCGAAAATTCATTCCGTCTATGTTTCATCCCTTAGCTGTAAACACAGAGAGCAATCAATCGTGGCAAGAGGTAGGAAGTCTTAGTGCAGCTCTCTATCTACCATTTACACCCACGACGTGCTAAAATAATAGCAGGAAGGGCAATCGTACGCCTAGCCGATTCAGTAGCTCGGATGTTCGATGTGTTATGGGCACGAAAAACATAGAAACATTTCTTACTTATTACAAATATTTCCTTAGACATCTTTCCAATCTTACTACCCTTTTCCTCTTTTTCTTTGTTTTCTTCTTTTCCTGATATTTTCTCTTCAACCTTTAAAAGAATCGTCGCTGATGGAAAAGCTGCCGGTTGCACAGATTCCCGCCAGCAATCTCTTCAGGACACGAAAGAAATGTAAGGATCGTCTCAGATGATTACAGAAATAGCCAAAACGACCATGAAGCGAAGAAAGACTAGATGCTGAGTTTGAAATCTTCAGCTCACACATGCATAGAGAATATCTCTACAAGGTTTCAGCTCTCTGTCTTGTCTAGTTCCCGAGATCGTTATACAGCCAAAAAATACACATATTTCTTTAAGGCCCCTGTATGCGGCATCCAGGCGTGCGCAGGTGATGATATTAAAACGGGAGGGCCGCACATACTTCCGAAGTTTCAGCCTTCTAGCTTTTCTGGTTCTCCGGTTGAAAGTGGGAGACAAAAAATGCGAGTACACAGGCACGGACACAGATACAGACACAACGCACACATACAGACACACAGACACACACACGCACACGCATAGTCTCTTGTCAATACGCGTTTTTGCATTTGCATATATGCGAAAACGAAATAAAAAAAATGGCCTAGCTGTCCGCTACGCCATCATTGATGACCAGTGCTGGTAAAATTTCGAGGATTTCTGAAGTTGAGGCATTCTGTCGATAAAAAGCACAACATTTTCCCGCATTTTGCAAACAAAATCAATTACCTGGCCAGTATGTGTGACCTCGTCGAAAACGGCTGTTGATGGGGTGACATCTCGCGGTCGCTGTACGTCCGATTTGGCGCGACACAGGCGCGTCCCCAGCCGCAACACACGTCCAGTAACAACAACCGCTCTCATCCACTGCAAAAATCTGAAAATATCAAAAATACCAGGGGTTTTCTGTGAAAATCAGCACAGATCCGTGGGGATTCTGGGAAAAAATTAAAAAAAAAAATAAGTTGCAAGAAAAAAACTAAACTAAGTCAGCCCTTAACCCCGCCCCCTCCCCCCTTATGCCACCAAACAATCATCCCCCGCACATCTACATAGTTCAGAAAAACGATAAAATGAAAGCAAACAATGCAACACTAACGCATTTTCATGCGTTTTTGCTGTGCAGCGCTATAGCGCTGCTACAGCCAGCAAAAACGCATATTGT